CCCCAAAACCCCAAAACCCCAAAACCCCAAAACCCCAACCTAAGACTTCTAATTGTTCTACTCCAAAACTGCACTTTTACGAAAAATACAAATTCACATGTCCAACTCCATACTTCTGTAACACCTTAGCAAGGCTGTCATAGCAAGGAATAGAAAGAATGCTGATCGCCTTCAAACTCTGGACTGTATCCTCTGATCTAGATAACCCATGGACTAAGTTATCGAAACCTCCCAATAACTTTCCAGGCTCACTTGGATCAGTAAGTGCGCCTCCTGAGAATGTTATCTCCTTGATGGTACATCCGTTCATTGCATACGTAAAGTCAGGAACTTCTTCAATTCAAACATATCAGAGATAAAATCCGATCTTCAAGCTCATCCTCACAGCAGGGAGGAACTTCTTGAACCACTTATTCCCAATCATCATACTATCCAAGTCAATTTCAGGTACCCTATAACCACCCTTCAGGATCCACCCAAGGTACTTATCAGTGTCCTTAAACGTGCTTAGACTACTCTTGACCACAAGATTATTCACTCTCAGTGGAAAGCCACTGACGAGCAGCAGCTTCACAGCTGTGAAGCTGTACTTGTCAGGTTCTGAGACGGTCAGTTTTTGTACAAAACATCCGCTCATGCCCAAATTGTTCATAACCCCAAGTAACAATCAATCATAGTACTCTGTCAAGTCCAGGTCTAAATGGAAATGTGTGTGCTGGTCTGAAGTACGAAAAGTTATTAGCTCACATTGAGAGCGCCATAGTTCAGAATTTAACTCTTGGAATTGGCTTAACAGGTTGAGTTCATAAGAGATTTTGGATTCTGAGACGTGAGATATGGGTGGGTTATTAAGTTCTTCAGAACCAAGATACTTTCATTCTTCTGGTTGAGCTTTTCCTTCCAGATTTATAAGAGTATTATATTCATTCTTGGGAAGTTTGGAGTATTCCTTTTTCGATCTAGTATCTGAATTTTCAGTTTGTCTTATCTGTAGTTCCTTCTTTTTCTGAATCATCTGTTTAGATTTTTCAAGAAGCTCTCCGAGCTCCTTCCCAAGTCTGTCATATTCTTCTTTACAAACTTTATTACAAATCTGGTTGTTGAATTGACAATTGTGCTGATTTTCATGTTCAAAATTAGATTTTATTTCTTCATCAGAATTTTGAAAGGTATATTTAATCTCCAACTTTTCTGGATCATTTGAATCTAGTTGAACTTTTAGAGAAACAAGGCAGTTGTAGATTTGGAAAACTCTTGTTCAAAAAATGTTGTTCTGGACTTTTGAATAGAGCTCTAAGGTTGTTCTGTGAGCTTCAGCTTTATGTCTAAGCTTCTTATACACATTTAATACGCTATAAACTATTAGAGGTATATCTTACTTGACAATTATGGGATGTTGAGGATCCTCCTTACTTTCTTCATTTTCTTTATTCTCTGACCTTTCTTCACTCTCTGAATTATTAGACGTGCTCAAAAAGTGTAAAGGAGCTGTCTGTTTGCCTGGAAAGCATCCCATTTATATAAATTATGATAACAAACCCAATAATATGCAAATGTCGCGGGGTTTTGGGGTTTTGGGGTTTTGGGG